TTGCCCAATAGACGCCGCACTCTGGGCACCCGCCGCCCAGCAGCTCGCAGTCGCGCACGTCGCACCTGTCGCCCAAGCGCGCGTCCTTGAGCAAAGTCAGTGCCGAGGTTCCTCGCGTGCCTGGCTGCTTGAGCACCCGTGATCGTAATCAGCTTGGCCTTCAACGTGTGAGTGAGGGCCGTGCTTGATGCAAGGACCTGCGACTTCTTGGCGGCGATGCGGATGCTGCCCCTGCTGAGACCGTTCACCAGCACCTGCGCCGCCAAGGCGATGTCTCGCATCACCCGGTGCTCACCGCCGCGCCGCTGCAGAACAAAATCATCGACCACAATGGCGGGGGAAACCGTGGGCACCGCCTGCTGCATGCGATCAACGCTCGATCAGCTGCAGCTTCATGAAAGTTGCGGCAAACGAGTCGCCTGCAAGCACGGTCTGGCGCACGTAGACCAGATCAGATACGGCACCATCCAACACAAGAGCACGGGCCTTGGTATACATATCCAGTTGTAGCTTCAACAACCACAAAGGAAAGGAAAACTTCTGAGCCAATCTCAACAAGTTGCCATGCCTGATCTGTTCAAAGGCCTTCCACAAGTCAAGTAATCGCGTTGCAGTGGCCCAGTCGGCGCTGGGATCTTCATCAATCTTCATGGAGACCCACTCGCTCCATACCAACTGTTGCCACACTGCACGATCACAACTCTTGCCAGCCGACGCCCACCAGTAGCCGCGATTGCGGGTGGCTTCCCACGCTGTGGCCATGGGCCCCCTCAGCCGCCCATGCACTCGAACAAGCGCAGCAAGAAGGGCGATTGGCCGCACTCCACCTTCACGCTTAGGTATGAATGCAAGCTTGTTGATAAAATCAGGCCAACAACATTGCTGCTCGACCATCTCGATCAAATCTGCGAGCGCCTCCAGGCCCGCATCGCCCAGCGCGCCGACGTCGCGCGGGTTGAAATTGTCAAAGCTACGCCCTCCGTGGACCTTGAAGGTTGCACGTACTCGACGTAGCTGATCTGGGGCCGGCCGCCTGGGACGCTCGCCAAGGTCAGCAGGCCAACTCAGCTTCGGAGGCTCGGCCGTGGTGCGCCAGTACTCCGACCATTCGCACACCGGCGCCTTGACCGCCTCCATCCTGCCCAACGGCACTGCAACTCCTTGAATCGCGGAGGCGTTCACCGCAGGCTCTTTCGCGAAAGCATGCAGCGCAGCCCCCGCGCCAGCAGAGTTGGCGTCGATCCAATCCCCGAAGCGCGCCTTCGACTCCTTCACATCGGTAGCGACGGCATCGTCGGCGAGCTGCTTGGTGACTCCAGCCAAGCACTCCAGTTCGACGCTGCCCATGCACTCGCGCGCGCGGCAGAGAAGCGCCACCGCCTGGCACCGCGTGCTGGCAGGTGGCCGCTGCGCTCTGCGCGCCAGAGCTCGCTGACCTCGCACTCGGCGGGTGGGATCATCACTGACCCCGTCGGCGGCAGCAAGGGCCACGCCCTTCAACCACGTCGCAGGCCTGCTCACCTTCGGAATGCGAGGCGCCGAGGGCGGGCACGCTCGAGCCCAACCGAGCTCTGGTCTGTGACCACGGCCACCGTACTTGTCGAGGTCAAGCCCTGCGAGGTCACAGAGGTAGTGCTCCGTCCAGGCCGTGTCCACGTTGGTCGTGACCTCGCGCGGCGCGCGCCAATCTTCCGAGAAGTCCCGCGTGCAACAGCCAGCAGGAAACGGACTGGGAAAGGCTTTGGCCGTGCGCATCACTTGCACCCAGTCGTCAATCTGAGTGCCGTCGATCGTGAGCCTGACAGGCCGATGCGGCCCAAACTCCCAATCGTGCAATACCTCGGCGCTGGCTACGCGGAAATGCCTGGACAAGACGAAGTAGTCAATGACGTGCTCCGAGGGCCTGCAGGTTCCCGAGCTCGGCGCCGCAACTCGGCCGCCGCACCGCTCGAGAAGGGAGGACTGCATCACAGTGGCTGGCTCCATGTTGAAGTTGCCGCTGATGATGAATGGGCGCCCTAGGACCTGCAGCATGGTGGTGACCTTGTGCAGGATGCTCTCGTTGGCGCACGCGAGCCCCTCGCCAGTGTGCAGGTAGACCGTGACCAGCACCACGCCACCCGAGCAGAAGCCTGAGTGGTGAACGAAGGTCGCACGCCCAGCGTCGATGACTGAGCTGCCGACACCCTCGAACTGGCCCATGCCGTGCACCCGTGGCGACAGCAAAAGGAGGCCTCCATGCCCAGGAATTCCGGGCCCCGAGCCCTCTGCTGGGGCTGTTTGCGCATGCCAGCCGAGCTTGGCTAGCCTCGATGCCACCTCATTGCTGCAGTGAGATGCGTCTCCTGGACTGCGACAAAATCGGACCGACGGGTCTCCATACGGTCCAGGAGGGTCTCAAACGTAGAGTATGCGTTGGCGTTCACTGTGAGACCGACCCAGGAACGCCGCTGCCGTGAGCCACTAAAGATTCGCCCCCCTCCGCTTGGACCCCGCACGAAGGATCTCCAACGCTTCCAGGATCCGCTTGCGCTGGTCGGGGTTTGCTGCCCCTGCCAGCAGCCCTCCTGGATCCTCTCCATCAAGATGGTCGCTGGAGCCACCGCGATCGCCATCCTCCATGGTAGCATCGCCATCGGCCCCCTTGGCCGCCTCGGCGCCACCGTCGGCGCCAGGCGCGCCGCCGCCGTTGGCGCCACCACCTGGTGGAGGGGCCGTGGAGGAAGGACAGGGGGCTGGGGAAGCAGCAGGCTGCTGCTTATGGGCGAACTCGGTGACGGCCAGGGTGACCTTCCCGAATATGGCCTCAACAGCGTCGCCTTGGCCTGCGCTGGACTGCAACTGCTTGAGCTGCTCGAGCAAGGGGCCGATGTCAAGCTTGGGCGGCGCAGTGGACGCACCCAGTGCCTTGGCAGCTTCCTCCTTGGCCACAGCCAGCTCCTGCTCCAGAGAAGCGACGGCCACCTGCTGCTCCTGCAGGGCGACCATGGCCTTGGCTGCTGCCTGCTTCGCCTTCTGCAGCTTCTGCTGACCAGCGGGCAAAGATTTCGCAGCCTTCTCCGCATTGTTATTCTGCGCGACGCCTGGAGTCCAGCCTGCCGCCGCCGCCGTTCTCGCATACTGAACACGATCACGGCTGGACTGAGACAGAGTAGACTTGACCAACTCCCAGACATCTGGAGCAAGCTCCACGTACGATTTGACACCATCATCATCAAGTGTAGCACCTGCAGCAACACGCCGACGAGAAGGCTTGCCAAGCTTAAGCTGTGGAGCACCTTGGGCCCAGTTCCCGCCAGCGGTGTGCCACGGACGCGGTGCGGGTCCATGGCCAGGCCGAACTCCGCTGCACCCCGACTGGGCACACTTGACCTTGCTGATCGGGTTGAATTTCGGGCAGCGCGGACATTTCCAATGCGCCCCGACATTCGCCATCGCTGTGCCCTCACGGGCGAGAGAAGCAATCTGCAGAACGAGCCACTTCAGCTCGGTACAGCAATCTAGCCGCTTTGAATGTATGCTGCACCAAGCCCACTTGGGCCAGAACGGCTGTGTGTGGGTGTGTGTGGGTGTGTGTGTGGGTG